GGACACTAACCGGGGTCGGCTACAGGGGAGTCCAGCGACATAGCCATTACGCTAACTGCTGGTTCCCTAACTTGTTTTTTAAAAGTGTTCTTTAAAAGTGTTCTCTACAGGATGGGAACCAGCAGTTAGCGTAATGGCTATGTCGCTGGACTCCCACGTAGTCGACCGCGGTTCGTGTCCCGGACCCGGTGGCTTAAAACTCACGCCGGGCGCGTGTGCGTGCGTGCCCAAGATCCCGAGAGGAGAATGGAGGAGAAGGGATTGCGGCGTGACCATCCCCCCTGGGGGGTGATTTCTCGCTTTCTGTCTCTATATCTCTCTCTGTCTGTCTGGCGAGCGCACGCGCCCTACAGTGAGAAATCTCTCCAAAAAAAAAAAAAAAAAATGAAAAGCAGCACTACTGACAACTGGAGCCAGATAATTCATCATTGTGAGGACTGTCCTGTGCACTGCAGCATGTTTAGCAACATCCCGGGCTGATACTTACAAGATATGAGTAATAACTGCCCTCATGGGACAAACAAAAATGTTTCCGGACACTGTCAAACGACCTCTGAGAGTGCAAAATTATTCCTGTTTCAGAATCACCACTTTAACCCAAGTAACAGTCTTGGTTATCTCAGCCCTAATTCCTCAGTCATTTGAATGTTCCTCTAAATCTGTGCGTTGAGACTTTCACCATTCAACTCAGTAAATATTTACAGAACCAACGAAACACGACATCAAGGACTCTAGGCGATAAATATGCAAGACAGATTCTGTCTTCACCTTCAAGCAGGTTTCTTGGGGGATAAGTAAAAAAAAAAAAAAAACTAATAAAAGACACCCAGACACAGGTGCTTGTCAGGATGAGGAACATGAGAGCCCCAGGTTCAAATCCTACCCTAAGAAGGCAGGTGCAGTGGCAAGGCACCCATGGTCCCAGTGGCTTGAGAGGCTGAGGCAGGAGAAACATGACATAGCACACCAAACCAATTATTGTACACTTCATCATAACAAAGTGAAAGCTTCATATAGACAGTAAAAACTCCAGAGTCAACTTAGACAGTATGTTAACCTATCTTAGCTGTAATACGTTCCTCGGTAAAATGAGAATGTTATTGTTGACTGCATTAAACTCAGTAAAACACAAGTAAGTATTTTCCACATTCTGGAACACAGTAAGCATTCGATACATGTAGGCTATCATTACTATTACTTTATTAGCAATAAACCCTACCTTTAGAGGAAAAGCTGGCTCTAGGCTATAATAATAAACCCTTACATGACATAAAAAGAAATCAACTATCACCCTGCTTTCTGAGGGCAAGAGGATGAGTAACTCTAAGCATTTCTACCAGTGTCCTAGAAAGAAGAAGTATATGCAGGAACCAATTAGAAGTCAGAGGGAAAAACAAACCACAATCAGACACACCCACTAGCTTCCAAAATATTCCTGGAGTACTCTTGGGTCCTTTTTATGCAAAATGCTTGTATATGTTTGCCATAAACACGTAAGACCTAAAGAGGAGGTAAAAAACATGCTTAATGTATAAATATTGGCACACACAGGGGTTCCACACCTAGTGCCTTAGATATAGAGGTTCATGCAATCCTCCAAGCAATTCTGAGGCAGGTACTGCTAGTACCCACATTGTACAGATGAAGAAACTGAGACACAGAAGAGACTCGCCCACGGTCACATAAAACTGAGTATCCGACTCCAACCCAGCACACTGGCTCTACAGTAGTGCCTTGTCCACCATACTTTATGGTACCTATTTTAATTTCAGATCTGGAAAATTTTACTTGCTACTTAAGAAGTCCAGCTCTCTCTTTTCTACTCCTGTAGTGTTTCAGAAGACCATCCTTTTAGTTGTATTGTGTGTGGTGGTCATAGGAGGAGGAAAGGTAGCAGTGCGAAAGGTCGTGACCCATTCGTTTTTTGGACACTGAAGTAAGCCACAGAGAAACTCGTGTGGCTAAAAATGGAGATACGATCCGAAACAAGAGGAGGAGAGTTTTGGAGAATAAGGAGGTCACCAAAACTCCTTTTTCAGACTCTGTCTTTGCTGTGAGTACTACGTTCATTCAAAAGACCTGAGCCCACCAATTCCAACCTCGTTTTCAGTCTCTCCTACAGTGAGAGACCGAGAGGAGGCAGCGAGGCGAGGGGACCGGAGTGCAGAGAGGATAGGGCAGAGAAAGTCGGGGCGGTCAACCAGGATGGGGGCAGCGAGGCGCGTGGAAAGGCTGGGGCAGAAGACAGAGATGGGGATCGGGTGGGAAGCTAAACACAGAGGACAGCGAGGCCAGTGGGGTCCGGGCTGGCAGTCTGAGTGTGACCAGCGGACGGAGGTGGGATCGGAACCCGGGTTGAGGCCGAAGGGGCGCCAGGGGCACAGCGACCTGTCACTACCATCTGTGCTGCTCTGAAAAAGGAAGCAGGACAAGGACCACGGCGTTTCGAAACAGGCGTAGAAAATAACCTCGAGCACAGCCCAGGGGCCTGGGTGGTGGCAGCGGCGGGGACAGGGGTCGCGTTCCCGGGAGCAGGTCTCGCGCGCGAGGGGGCTGCGGAAGTGGGTGGGCTCAGCCTCGGT